TTGTTTATGAGCAACACGAAGCGCTTGCTGTCCGTTCTGCAGGTCTATCAGTGAGAACCATTCCAGCAGGGTTTTGTGCTGGCTGCACTCGAGGTAATCTTTTAGCTGTCGGGGGAGGGAGGGGAGAATTAGTCGATCGCTAACTCTTTGAACGGATAATGCTTTTTGAGGGGGAACATAAAACGAAACAACAAATTAAACTTACCTATTTCGTAGAAAATGTCATTGACATTGGATGCAGTCTTTGCAGAAGTTTCCATGAAGAAAAGGCCATTCTCTTGGGCATAAGTGCTTGCTTCCTGAATCATCGAGGAGAATAAGTAAAATGGATGCTTGCATGTACGTAGATGTTAAATTGAAATCGCACCATGAATACATTCGACCCTTTATCATCTCAAAGAGAAAAAGATTAGTTTGAAATGTCAAAAATCCGAAATTACACTAATCCTAGCAGTCGTTCTACCTAACAATGCTAGGAATTACTGATTACTAATAATGATATAATGTATTACGTTTAAAAATTAATATGTGGTACTTTAACTCGGGTTTAAGAGTATGATACAGACTACAGTATGAGTCCATTGCGGTTTATGTTCAGATTTTCTTTCCAAGTTTTCCTAGCAATTTAAGGGTCTTCGTAGAGTTGTATCTCCATAACCATAACCATAGCAGGATAGGTATCAGAAACAGGTAGTTCAAAAAATATGAGAGTTAGAGAAATAGAAACTAATAGCTTGCCTCCGATGCCACCTTCCTTTCATCGAGTAAATCAGCTTTGTTCCCAGCAAGTGCTGTTACCATATTAGGATTGCCTTCAAAGGAAAAGGAAAAAGGATTTCAACATCAAAATCAGAATTCAATTACTCGGGCTAATAAATAAAAAATTCGTATGGATAACTCGATACATAATCGAGAAGAATGTCAACCAAAGAGTAGAAAAAGAAAACGACTACCTTGTGATTGAAGTTCCTGGACCCATTTTTGGCTCTCTCGAATGACATCTGCAAAATAAGAACGCTATTACCATTCTTTCAGATACTAAATATCATTGTGTTGATGCATCAACCAGACAACCCTAATCGAACATTTTATCATAGACGCATCGTTGAAGTTAGATTCAAAGAAAGCTATCGAAGCTAACCAGGTATGATCTTAAATTACAATCTAAGGAAGTTTTTAATTCCTTCATCTCCCTAGAGCAGTAGGCATTTTTGCATTGACATAACCTAATCACAGAGAGAAGACACGGGTTAAACATTATGAACTTACTTGATTCGTTGTATCGTAAACAATGATCGCAGCTGCAGCTCCCCTGTAATACATTGGTGCCAAGCTATGGTACCTCTCTTGGCCGGCGGTGTCCCAAATCTCGAACTTTACAGTTGCATCATTCACCGCCACCGTCTGGGAGAAAAAAGCTGCTCCTATGGTCGACTCCTACATATTATAAATCAATGTCACACCATATATTCCCAACTCAAAAGTCGAATCAATAACGTTCTAACTCAGAGGATCCAACCGCACCAACCTGAAACTCGAGGAATTGCCCTTTAACAAAACGCAAAACAAGACTCGATTTTCCGGCTCCGACATCCCCAAGTAGAACCTGAAGAACAAAACACATATTAACAACTGATACATGCAACAAACACCAGTTCAAAGATCAAACATGGAATTTGATTGGCTCTAAAACCAACCACCAAAATCAAAAGAACATTTTGCAAAACTAAGCAAAAAAATGTATAATAATTCACATAAAAATCAAATATGAAGCACAATCCATCAAGACCCCGATCATAATTCAGCATTTAAAGCCGACCCAAAGCACAAAATTCAATATAACACATAAATAATTCACATAAAAAGCAAACATGAAGCACCATACATCAAGACCCAGATCATAATTCAGCATCTAAAGCCGACCCAAAGCGCAGAAAATTCAAGTAATTAAAAAAAACAAGGGTTTAAAGGATTGTGAGAGATAGAAAACGAACTAATTTAGCATTGCTGTTCTTGTTTCCAGTGGTGGCCATGGGATCTTCTTGTCAATCAGATTTATGTGTTTGCCAAATCAAACAGATCGAAAAAAATCAATAAAATAAATAAAAAATTATGCAGTCAAGGCAAAATGAAACTGAGAACTGTGGATTGGATTGTTGAAGAAGAAAAGAATGAGGGAGACTAATAAAAAAGGAATGTGAAAATGCCAAAGGGTCGTAACAAAAACCAAAGTCTCTTCACGATGACTTTAAAGCGAAGGACCCCAATTTTGATGTTTTATTTTCTTGGGTAAACTATATGTTCGGTACCTAAATTATTACTTTTATTCCGTTTTAATACTTAAAGTTTACTTTTTATTTCATTTTAGTACCTAATATTTATTTTTTATTTCATTTTAATACTTAAATTTTTAACGGCGGGTAAACAAAAAGTAAATTTTAGGTTTGTTTTTGAAAAAAAATTGAATGTTTAGATATTAAAACGGAACAAAAATGATAGTTTAAGTATTAAACATGTATTTTATTCTATTTTCTTCTATGAAATTCTTTTGCGTTTTCTTTTGGTTTAATAATCAAAATGATCCCTGAATTAAACTTATTTTATTTTCTACTTAAATATCTAAGTTATAACTCAATATCTAATCTCTAGTCGAACTACGAGAGACACCTATGGATGAACTGAAAGGTGGAGCGATATTCTTAAATTTTTTAAATTTTTATATAATTTAATTATTTTTATATTTTTATTATAATTTAATTCTAATTAATATAATTTTACCTCTAAAATATTATAATTTATTTATTAACATAAAATATTATGCTCACCTACTTAACAGGGGAGGAATTAGAAATTTATTATAGCATGAGTTCAAATATCTTTAACTTTTTTATAAATACAGTTTTTTTAATTGAGTGGACTTAATTAATTTTTTTATTTTAAAAAATATACACTTTTAATATTAATTAATATAAGAAAAATAATCACAAAGTTACGCCTCTACTCCTTAACCCATATAGAAGGAGACCTTATGTGTGTGTATGGTTGGGGGAATGTGAGATTTCATTCTCCCAATGCGAATCTCACATTCCCCGTTTGGTTGGCCGGGGGTAATATTACATTACCAATAGTAGATTTTTTGGGGTATATTATTGGGAATGTCATTATCTCCCTTTCTTTAGGTATTGTTGGATTACCGGTGTTTTGAACTAAAATGCCCTTAAAAAAATTTCTTTCAAAAATATCCTTATTCTATTATTGAATAATAAAAATTATACGAAGGTTAAATTACAAATTTATTCTTAAACTATTTTAGATTTACAAAAAAACTATAATTAAAATTTTATATGAAGTTTAGGGATTAAAACAAAATTTTACCTTTTCATTAAACCTTTTTATATTTTAAATTTTGTAAAAAAAATTATATAAAATTTATGAATTTAAATTTTTTAAAGAAAAATATATAAATATTTTCTAACTTGTTAAAAAAATAAATATATAATAAGGATAATTTAGTTAAATATACATTCCAATAATCTTTTATTCTTTTAACCAAACATTGTAATCTTACATTCCTTGCTAAACCAACCAAACACAAAATACAACATTCCCAGTAATCCTATTCTCTGGTAATCTTTTATTCCCACTGATAATCTTATATTTCGTGAACCAAACGCACCTCATGGGTAACCGGTCATCATTGGATCATCACAATTATCATTTTGTACGAAGTTCATTTATTATTAATTAAAAATGATGGATTAAATTTTCACGTGATCTTAATTTTACAAAAGAATAATATAAGATCTTGATATTCATCACTTAAACTGTAGCAAGTAGTCAATAATCTTGTTATCAATTTGAACTTGCAAATAATATTTTTTGAATTAATTATTGATATTTGATCTATTAATCGACTAATCTAGATCGTGTATTACAGAGGCGATGACGACCCTCCCAACCCAGTTTGCTCCATTCGCAAACATCAAGGTTCGAACCCCTGACCTTGCTTAATGAATCTAGTACCTCATCTCACTAGACCAACTGATGGTTGGTAACTTACAAATAATATTTTAAATAGAGTATCAAATTATGTTATATTAAAATAAAGAAATTAAATATCAATTTTTACCATAATAAAAGGACTAAAACAATAGTTAGACCATATAAGTCCTTCAACTCGTCATCGTGACCTTTTCCACATGTTGGAAAAAAGGATATTACTTCACCCAGCTAATTCCCTCCATGTCGGCCTTAAAGAATCATCGTCTAATGTCAAAGATGATTGTTCCTGGCGTTATCGCAGAACAGACGTATCATGGCCCTCCCTCTTTTACTCTGCCGTTCGTCCAGCTCGACTCCACGGGGTTTAAGTAGTTGCAGACTGAAGTTTCTTAGCTTTAGCTTCCTTTGTTCACCAAAAAATAAATCATTGTTTAATTAAATTTAATGTTAAACAGGTTTTTTTTCCAATACCAAATTAGCATAAAAAATTATTCCTGCAAATGATAGATTTAATGAAATTTGTTGTTTTTAAACACGAGCTTAGTTACCATTCACAAATACCCATGTATTCATTTTTTTCCTCTTAAAAATATTTTTAAAAATTTTAACTTACTTATTTACATAAAGTACAAAATAAATAATTTCATACCAATTACAAATTAAAAATAAAAGTTTTAGTCAACATTTTCATTTAAAAAACAATTTGATTTTTTTTCAAAAGTTGATGGAATTTCAACAACCCATTAAGTTGTGGCATGCGACTATATATATCATTACATGTTAAAATTGTTAAATTCAAATATCAAATTAGACAAAAAAATATCAAAGGAAAGACAAATTCCGGTACAAATTGTAATTTAAAAAAAGAAGCAGCATAGGTACCAATACCATATTAGAAAAAACTCAAAAAAGTAACAAATTCGGGTACCAATCATTTAATTAACCCTTGGTTTAACAAGCGTACGCCATGGCAGCTGCATTTGATAAACCAAAACCTGAAGTTCAAGGGTTCAATGATTAACCTATCAAGAATCTACGAAATTCGTTTGTAAACATATACTCCGAAGCTCACTCAGATGTTTAGCTCAACGGCAAAATTTAAAATGTCCCAAGGGAAAACCATGACCTTCTGTTGTTTCAGGAGTAACAGAGCTATCGCTTTTTTCTTCCACCCTTCCCGGACTTGGAAGATCCGGAAGTACTCGATGTCGATGGAGCTTCCTGCTTCTTAGTCCTTCCCGGATGTCTAGGTACCAACTCCGCAACTTGGAGCTTCAGCTGTTTGCCTGCAACCACACAAATTATGGAACTACAGCGCATAATTCACTCCAGCGCATAATTCACTCCAGCGCTACTCTTGTTCTTCTTCTCATTTAATTTTAATGAAAAAAATGAGACATATGCAACACTTTTCCCTTCATAATCTAATTTCGCAAAGTCGAAGATGGAAAGTGTTTTCACACCATCAAATAACTCGCGTTTTCTACAGAAAATATGGCGCTTTTGTTTCAAAGAGTTCCATTATTTATTCTCAAACTCAAAACTGGCTGTATAAGTACGTTAAAAGACGACACTTACTTAAGGAATGGCTGGATTGCTTAAAGTCCCATCCTCCTTTTTCAATTGAACCCTCACTCCCCCTCTTTGCATGAAATCACGAGGATATGCCTTGTCAATCTGTACAAATCAACTTTAACTCGGTTGTATAACAAATATAAAGAATTAGTTTGTTCAAAAAGCAGGTAGAGTAAAAATTTGACAAATCATTCAACAAGTGTGAGATGAATAGGTTATTTGGCATTTTCGTTCAAAAGCCCCAAGTTCCAAGATGTTCCGCAAATGATTTTAACATCCTTGTCATAGGATGCCAAAATCATTTAGCTAATAAATAGCTCTAAAGGTAGCAAGACGCTGAGGTTTGAGGAGCAACCTTCTTGTCAGGTAAATCGGTGGCAGGGGAAACAAAGTTTACAAAAGGCACGGACAATAAAAGTGAATACTAATTGTATAACTAAAGATAGGTTTCGGAAACAGTGCACATGCAAAGGGAGAAATCAACAATGGATAAGGTAAAACACTGTATGTGTAGACCCACACTCTAGGAATAGACCCTTGAATGATGAACGGAGCAGTGCACGAAAAACCCAAAAACCATACTTGTGGCATTCAGAGACCATAAGAGTTTTACATCCTCAAAGGAGGCAATATACAATGGTGGTGACAACCTCGGTTAATTTTTGATTCACCCAAGGAAATAGTATCTGTTAGAATTTGATGATAGAAAGTCCTAAATGTCCATTTATTGGTAGATTCACGGGGTAGTACAGAAGGAAGCAATGATAGAAAGCAACAAGAGTAAGACATATCTTCATTTATTTCGATTGTTACAGAAGGAAAAACACATATAATTGTTGCTATCCACAACAGATTTCAACCATTGCTAATGGAACTATTTAGCAGGTTACTTGAAACCTCAGGTTCTAATCAGGAAAAAAAGTTCATATTAGATTTCAACAAAACCTTCTACTTGGAAACTGATACAAGCTCTAAAGGTGTGGGGGCAATTCTCTCTCAAGATGGCAGACCTGTGGTTTACTAAAGTAGAGATTTGGGACCAAAGCATGTTGATTTGTCTATATATGAGAAGGAGTATTTAGCCATACTCATGGCTGTGACAAAATGGACGCACTACCTAGAAGGAAGACCTTTTGTTATAAAAATAGATCATGAATCCTTGAAACATCTACTGGAACAAAAATTGACTACTACAATACAGAAAAAACAGGTTACAAAACTTCTTGGGTTGGATTATTTAATTCAGTACAGAAAAGGAAAACACAACAAGGTGGCTGATGCTTTATCCATGAAGCATGAGGAAGGAGTTGAGCTAAACCAGTTGAGTGCTACTATGGTAATTCCAGCTTGGGTACAAGAAGCAGAGCTAAGTTATGAAGGAGATTAAATAGCTAAGGATGTCATTACTACATTGGCAGTGTCAGAGAATGCTATAGAGGATCAGACTTTTTCTAAAAGCATACTGAGATACAAAGGACGGGTGTACATAGGTGACCATGGAAACCTTAGACAACAACTTTTTCAAACACTGCATGATACTCCACAAGGGGATCATTATGGGGTTACTGCTACCTGTCACAGGATGCAGTTATACTTCTATTAGAAAGGGATGAAAAAGATGGTGCAATAGTATGTGCAACAATGTGAGATTTGCTATAGAATTAAAGATGAGCATGTGTGTTTTTTTTACAATGTGAGATTTGCTAGAGAATTAAAGATGATCATGTGTTGAAACCCAGGTTATTACAACCCCTGCCAATACCTCAACAAGCTTGGGAATTTATAACCATGGATTTTGTGGAGGGTTTGCCTTAATTCACAAAGGTACAATTGCATTTTAGTAATTATTGATAAATTCACTAAATATGCACATTTTGTGCCCCTAGTACACCCCTTTACAGCTGCTGAGGTTGCCAAGGCTTACTTAGATCAAGTATACAAGCTACATGCACAGCCTAAGATTGCTCTTTTTGATAAAGATCGAATCTTTACTAGTGTGTTTTGGAAGGAACTACAAAAATTGTTGGGCACTACAACCATTTTTACCACTGCATACCATCCTGAGACTAATGGTCAGACAGAGAGACTCAATCAGTGTTTAGAACAATCTAAGGGAACTGTGTTTTGCTAGACCAACTACCTGGGTGAAATAGTTGTCCCAAGCAGAATGGCGGTACAATACCAGTTTCCACACTTCTTTGGGAACTACCCCATTTACGGTATTGTCTGGCTACATGCCTCCAACCATGACCTAGGTCACAGAATAAAGGGTGGCAGATGTGCAGAAGCTCATGCAAGAGAGGGATCACCTAAATAACATTCTACAAGATCAACTCACTAAAGTACGACAAAGAATGAAGCATTTTGCAGATAGAATATAAGTGATCGAGAATTCCAAGAGGGAGATGAAGTTTACCTTAAATTGCAACCTTATAGACAGACTTCAGTTGCTCTGAGAAAGAACCTTAAACTCTCAGCAAGGTATTATGGTCCCTGTAAGGTTTTGAAGAAAATTAGGTCAGTTGCTTACCACCTGCAACTATTAGCACACTCCCAAATACATCCAGTATTTCATGTGCGTATGCTCAAGAAGAAGATTGGAGAAAAAGCAATTACCTCCAAGGATCCTTCGGAAGTGAATGCTGATGGACAAATCCGAGTGTATCCTGCCATGGTTTTGGATAAACGAATAATAATAAAAAAGAAAATCAAGCTACAACTCAACTGTTAATTCAATGGTCTATCTTGGGTTCAGAGAATGCTACCTAGGAAGACTTTTCGGTTCTGAAATCACAATTTCCTAATTTCGATCCCTGGGGACAAGCATCTACTGTAGAAGTGGGTATCGTAACGACCTAGGAGGAGGAACTAGGTTTTGTAGAAGGGGAAGTGGGGAAAGAGCTAGGGATTACTGAGGAGAAATTGGGAATTGAAATAAAAAAAAAAGGGGAAATGAAGTTACATGATGGGAACGTGGAAGAGGAATTAGGGTTTGTAGAGGGGAATTGGGGAAAGAGCTAGGGATTGCTGAGAAAAAATTGGGAATTAAAGCTGAGAAGGGAGAAATGAAGTTAGCTGGTGAGAACGTGGAAGCCCAACTGGAGTCAAAATACTTGAGTGATAAAATGGAGTGGATCGAAGAAAAAGGAAGTGGGTCATCAGCTCTTATGACCCAATATGAAGGCAGTGCATCATCAATTCATGGACATGCTCCAGCCAAGTGAAGCCCCACGAACGGTTAATGGAATCTGCTACAAGGACGCATAGTTGGCAAACAAATAAATTAAATTAGCACATGGAAAATCAAATATATATATGAATGTGTACCGTGCACAAGTTCCTTATGAATGAAAATATCAGAATTATCTTCTTTTACCTTCAAATTCCCTCTATTTTCTTAAATCCTTTCTTTTATTACGAGCTCAGTCCTGACATGTTTTAAAATAGGTTGTCCCATAATAAAACTACTCATAGATTTATCATGATACGAACACAATAAAGTAAAAGAAATACACTACACATTGTCACAAAAGTTTTGTAAGTTATATTTTAATTATTAAAGTTATTAATAAATTAATATATTATGAGAATTGATGACGTTGATGATGAATTAGACTATATATATATATATTATTAAATATCAAGTTAATAATTTAGTTATTAGAGATCAATATGGATATTTAATTTTCTATACATCATCAACAAGAAGGGAATCAATCACTAGTAACAATTAGGGATCGGCCTGGGTAGTGGTTATGGGTTAAGTGCATCTCCATTCTTTTGGAAAAGTGATTAAATTTAGTTTAATATGTTAAGGAAAAAAGAAAAAAAAATTACAATTTTTGCATACACATTATTTTTAAGAAAAGAAAATTAAAATTTTGGACCATCATTCTTAAATTTCTAGATCCGCCATTGGGCATGGGTCGAGTTGGGTCTGATTTTTAGTCCACCCGACCTGACCCGAGAACAAGAAATCCTCCACCCAAGATCTGACCCGACCCGACCAAAACAAGATTTCATCCGACCCAAACCCTACCCGAAATAATAAAAAATATATTATTTTTATTCAATAAAAACATGGACATAATTAAAAAAAATAATATATAGAGGGGTATTATTGTGATTATTTATAAATATATAAGGTAAAATTATATATTTTTTTTCGGGTTGGGTCAGGTCGAGTATTTTTTACCCTAAACCCGAACTGACCTGAACAACACATTTAAAAAATCTGACTCGACCTGAACCCTATTTTTCTTTAAAAAAAAATCAATCGGGTCGGGTCGAAATCCGTCGGGTTTGGGTTCATGCCCATTCCTAGTAACAATTTTGTGGATTATAGACAATGTTAGTGACAAAAATAACTTATGAAACATTAGATCAAAATATAAAATAAATGAATATTTAGTGATATCGAGTGTAGTTTATCCAAGAAATACAAATTATATCCACACCATTCATTAAAAGGACGAACGCGGACGAACGGCTTCGATCAGTAAACTACAAGATCTCTAACGTAGAATCAACCGCACAAAATTAAAGCTTTTTAGGGTCCTTTCCCCTATATTCCTTCCGATCATCATCTTTGCTTAATTTTATCTCTCTCGATTTCTCAGGTAAGAAAAGAATAATTAAATTAAATGTTTTATTTTTCAGAATTCAATTATAATTTATTTAATATTTAGATAATCGGAATCTTTTATATGTTGTAATTGTCGGTTGGTTGATTGATTGTTGTCGTGGTTGAAGAGGGTGCTGGGTGCTTTATTTTTTTTTGTTCACAGTTCGAAAACAGGGTTATCCCGTTCGAATCTTCAACAATTTGGGTTTTTTTTCTTTCAATCGGAATTTATTAATTTGTTTATTGTTCAAGTAAAATGATTCTTTGATTTGTTGTAATTGTTGGTTGATTGATTGATTGTTGTTTGTGGTCGAAGAGGATGTGGGCTGCTTCATGCCTTGCTTCGTGTTGTGCTGCGTGCGCCTGCGATGCGTGCCGCACGGTGGTTTCAGGGATTAGCCGGAGATCGGCGAGGATCGCCTATTGTGGACTTTTTGCCCTTTCTCTGATTCTTTCGTGGATCCTTCGTGAGGTTGCTGCGCCGCTGATGGAGAAGCTCCCTTGTAATTTTCGTTAAAACTCTGCCTCTCTTAATTCGGTTATTGCTAAATTATGCGAGTCACGTAGTTAGTTTGTTTTTAGATTTCAATAGGAAAAACAATTGTTGATGTTGAATCGAGTAAATGATGACGCTAAATAGTTAGTAGTATAATAGCATTAGCATATGCAATGTGCAAGGAGGATGGGTTATTTAGGATTTGTTTTTGTGGTAATTTGTCTCACAAGCGTCGTTTTACTCTGAGCTAAGTGCCTTGTACATGTCGCATTAATGTATTATGTCTTTTAGGGAATCTGAAGAATGCTAATACTTCGATTTGATTATGGAATTTATCACCATTCACCATGTCTTTGGATATGATTTATCGGATTAAATCTGTGTTTCGGATTAATGACAAGCTTGTTCTTTTACACATTTTCCCTCGAGTGATAATTGGTTCTAGTACCGTATTTCGCTTCTATCATGCTGCCCCATTTTTGGTTGTCTTTAGTTATTGATATGTGCCTCCATGTTTCATGTATAGAATGCTTAAAAGCAAGCTTGCTGGCTGCATCTTGCATATACTCATTTTGCTGATTTTGTTAATATGCCATTGTTATTTGTGCAGGGATAAATCATTTTCATAAAACACCGGACAGGGAATGGTTTGAAACGGACGCGGTGCTGAGGGTTAGCTTGGGAAATTTTATGTTTTTCACTATCCTGTCAGTTTCTATGGTTGGAGTGAAAACTCAGAGGGATCCTCGTGATGCTGTGCACCATGGTGGATGGATGATGAAAATTATTTGTTGGTTCATTTTAGTGATTTTAATGTTTTTCGTTCCAAATGAGATTATCAGCTTCTATGGTAAGCTACATTCTGATGGATCATTCTACAAGATTAAGAATATTATCCTTGTCTAAATGTTTTACAGGCTATAGGAGATAATGTTCTTAGAGACCATTTGCAAATATGATTAGTGGAGATAATAATTTGGCTAAAATTGATTATAGTCAACTTAAACTGACACTTAAATTTTGCTTTTGCAGAGTCAGTATCAAAGTTTGGTGCAGGACTGTTCCTTTTGGTTCAGGTTGTGCTTTTGCTTGACTTTGTTCATGGATGGAATGACAAATGGGTCGGATACGATGAACAGTTCTGGTTAGTTTTGTTTTTCTGACATTTTAATGGGTTCACTTCTTTTTATTGTTCAGATCAACTGATATCCTTGCCTTTTCTCTAGGTATGTTGCTCTGTTAGTTGTTTCACTTGTCTGTTATTTGGCAACATTTGGCTTCTCGGGACTTCTCTTCCACTGGTTCACTCCATCCGGACATGATTGTGGACTCAATACCTTCTTTATCGTTATGACCTTGATTCTTGTTGTTCTGTTTGCCATAGTTGCTCTGCATCCTGCTGTAAGTCTCTACTTTTGGGTCTTCATAATTATTTTATCCCATCAATATCAATTTTATCCCATATTTATTACCTTGGCTCGAGTCGATGGCGCTGTTAGATATATTATACTGTTCCATGATTGATAAACTGTATACCTTTTCAAACATGCATTTGTAGTGCAACTTTATCACCGTACCATATTTCATGCCGTTTATACAAGTATGTTGATGCACATAGTCATTCCCAATGTGTATATCTTGTTGAATTCTTATGTTTAACAGGTTGGCGGTAGCATTTTGCCAGCTTCAGTCATATCATTGTACTGCATGTACCTATGCTACAGTGGACTTGCAAGCGAGCCAAGAGATTACGAATGCAATGGTCTTCACAATCACGCTAAAGCAATTTCTACCGGCTCCCTGACCCTTGGTCTAGTTACCACTGTCCTGTCGGTTGTCTATTCTGCTGTTCGTGCTGGGTCTTCCACGACTCTGCTCTCCCCACCAAGTTCACCACGTGCAGGTACCATGGACAACATTTCTCGATCCTTATACCATTGAAATAAGCTTTCACGATGTTCTTTTCTTAGAACTTAAGCAAGTTTTGTTTACAAACTTCATTTATTTTTGTATTGAGAATAGGGGTAGGTATTTCGAAAGTCCATCAACCGTGTTTGGTTTTACATATATTTTGAGAATTCGGGGTTCACTTCTCCCTCTTTCCTCCGTACCTCACCGCATTTTAGGATCTTTTCGAGGGGTGGAAAAGATACCAAAAACAAATTATATATTAAGAGAGTACTTTAACATTCTGCTTTGAATGGTTGAAGGTGCTGGAAAGCCTTTGCTTCCAATGGACAAAGTAGACGAACACGAAGAACAGGGGAAAAACAAGCCAGTCTCGTATTCGTATGCCTTCTTCCACATAATCTTTTCTCTAGCAAGTATGTACTCGGCAATGCTCTTAACTGGATGGTCAACCTCGGTTGGGGAAAGTGGCAAGTTAGTCGACGTAGGCTGGCCATCTGTGTTGGTTCGGGTTATAACTGGGTGGGTAACTGCAGGTCTCTATATCTGGTCACTCCTTGCTCCTATTCTGTTCCCAGAGAGGGAATTCTAGTTCTTGGCCATTGTTATTGCAATAAATTTAGTTATATGTGTGTGTGTGATTTGACAAATCGGATTAAAAAAACATTTATCTGTGTCAAAAGTGGGAATCAGTAAATGTACTCTTTTTATGTGTGTTTGATCAGTGATGGGGTTGAATATACCCTCACTGAAATCCTAAGAACCCTTTGTTGATGCTATTATACCATAATGTAATTATAAGGTTGAAGTAAATGTGTTTAATTTTAACCCCTTCATCTTTGATTGTGTAATTTCACACAACTTAGTAGGATTTATTGATTTAAAATATGAATAAATAAATATTTGAGTCGTTATAGTATAACAATTACTCGATTTTTTTTCTCTTATTGCGACTGTTCTTACTACATTCATGTATTTTTATTAAAAAAAATCCATACTATTAATTGAGGGATTGGTAATTAAATCTTAATTCGGTTGATACGTTTTACAACGTATTTTTTAAATTTTTTGAGACGATTTTAAATTATAATTTTCTGTAAGCGTTAAAATGTAATTGGCAGTTGGCACTATGTTCGTGACTTTGTCTTCTAATTTTATAATTTTAAGAGAGATTATGATAGAACTTTGGAAGGACCCCTTGGTGAGCGGAAGTGGGAGGAGTTACGCGCTTCCTTACCTGACTCCGACTCTGACTCCGTACTGTTACGACTTGCTGCCATGAAACCGCCATTACTACAAGGAGGAGAGGACCGACCAGGGTAGATATGGAAAAGGATTAGGCAGTTTTCTATTTCGTGTGCTTACAAATGTCGAATGGAAATGACTGAAACTACCGAAAATCAATTCTGGGACGTACTTTGGAAATTCCAGGGGCTCCCGAGCGTGCCATTTCTCCTCTGGCTAATTTGTAAGGGTCATCTTATGACTAATGAAGAACGAATAAGACATATGATAGAAGATACAAGCTGTTCCTGTTGTGGCACGATGCATGAGTCTTCATCCCATGTTTATCGAGAGTGTATGGCGACTCCGGCTAGTTGGAATGAACTCGTCAAACCGCGACTGCTTGATGTTTTCCTTAGCAGGAATATAGTTGATTGGATTCAAGTAAATCTTCAACGACCTGGTTTTTTCCCTTTAGTTTCGGACGAATGAGACTTGCTTTTTGGTTCCATTCTATGGAGCATTTGGATGCGAAGGAACCAAATGATCTTTGCACCGGAAACCTTGAAGACTGATAGCGTCATACAACATAGTTGCCGATTACTAATGGAGGCTGGCCAAGCTCGAAATTTAATACTGTCGGCAAGGAGTGGACGAGATAGGATAAGTTGTGAGATTTGATGGGAACCTCTGCCGCCAGGATGGTGTAAGGTTAATACGGATGATGCACATAAAACGACTTCTGCCTTACAGTCTGTGGTGGGATTATACATGATGAGACTGGCATGTCGATTGGTGGGTTCACGAAAGCCATAGGAGTGTGTTCGGTGCTTGATGCGGAGCTTTGGGATATGCTGGAAGGTCTTTATTTGGCATTGGATTTAGGAATGAGACTTGTCGTTCTCGAGATGGATAGCAAGAATGCATGGATGTTACTTAAACAAGGTACGAACATGGAATTGGCTTCCCCTTTGGTTCCACACATAGTAAACGTTATTCGATGAGATTAACAGTTGTAGTTTGTGCACATGGCTCGTGAATAAAATATGGTCGCAAATAGTATGGCAAAACTTACATGAACTTTATTGTTTGAACTTCGAACTTTTAGTTCTCTCCCGATGAAAGTTATGACGTTTTCACAAATATGTAATTTTCCCTGGTGATTCTCCCTTTTGGCTCGCATTCTTGAAATCTTTGGGGTTTATTCTGGCCATTCGGTAAATAAACAGATTTATTTTTCTCCTAATAAGCCTATTGATTCGAGGCATACCATCAACGATTCCTTGGGATTTAGCCTTGTTAATGAAATGAGTATTTATTTGGGTACTCCTGTGCGACAACGGGGAAGAAATTTCAAGCTGTATACTACGCTCTTGGACAGGCTGCGCTCGAAACTCTTCAACTGATCTGCCTCTACTCTCTCTCGCAGGGCGTATCACCCTTGCGAAGGCATTTTTATCGGCTATTCCAACCTATTTCATGAAGTCGTGTTTACTTCCGAAACATGTTTGTGACAATATTGAGCAACTCATTCGGCATTTTATTTAGAAATCTAGTGATAATGAAAAAGCTTTCTCCTTAATCAATTGGAATACCGTTTGTCAACCTTATAAGCATGGCGGATTTGGACTATGAAATCAATCGTTCCATAACATAGCTCTAATTTGGAAAATTTCCAATGCCTTGATTAATAATCCGGAAGCTCTTTGGATAAAGGTCCTGCGTGAAAAGTATTCAGTTTCAGATTTGGTTCTTGCTTCCATACACAGGTCTTCTTGCTCCCTACTTTGGAGATCTCTTTCTAAGACTTGGCCTCTCTTTCTTTCGAATCTCTCTTGGTCTATTGGAAATGGTGAGTCCATACGTTTCTAATCTGATCCTTGGATGCCGAATCTTGGTCCCCTCCACCTCTGGAAAGATCGGCAGCCATTGATACTGATGATGCGTTTGTTTCAGATTTTTCTGATTGTAATGGGAATTGGAATTGGCAGGTTTTGGAACCCCTTTTAGACGATACTTCCATCTCCCATTTAAAAAACATTTCAGCCCCTAGCTCCGCTCTTGGTTACGATCGTTGCCTTTGGAAAAATAATTCCCAGGGTGTTTTCACGGTTAGCAGCGCCTATGCTGCTCAGGCAAGCAGCCAATGGACCGCTCCTCACCCCATTTGGATGCTTATTCGAAAGCTTTGTGTTCCTGAAAGGCTCCGAATCTTTATCTAGTTGGTTGCGCATGATCGTATTCTCTAGAATGTCAACAGGCGCAAACGTGGTATTGCCACGATCCCTTCTGCAGTTCTTGCAGCTCTTCGGAAGAAACTTCCGTCCACATTCTCCGTGATTGCACCGAGATTAAACCGTTGAGGGCCGCCTTGGCACATTTTTCGGGTGTCTTTGAATTTTTTTACCTTGCATCTACAGGATTGGATAATGGCCAATTTATCTTCTAGTTCATCCCGTCATTATATGAGTGCCTATATTCCTTGGAGTTCTATCTTCGCTTCGCTCATTTGGCATATATGGAAGCGCCGAAATGACTGGATTTTCAACCACAAATTCCACTCCATCGACATTGTGCTCCACCGAAGTCTCAACTGGGCAGCGGTTTACTCTTCAAATCCTGTTGCAATTCAAAGCATCTTTGGTCCCAACAACGTTGCTGAAATATGCTGGGAGCCTCCATCAATGGGAACCGACTGCCTTAATACTGATGGGTCGGTTGATCATGCTAACCGAGGTTCGGCTGGTGGTGTGATACGGGATCATCTTGGTAACTTCATCGTGGGTTTTAACAGGATCTTGGGCATCACCACAGTGATTCAATCCGAACTTTGGGGGATATTGGAAGGCTTAAATTTAGCTTGAGAACGAGGATTTCGCCAATTACTCCTTCAGACTGATAGCTCTGATGCTTTTGAGATGATAACATCCGCCTCTCCTACCAGTCTGATTGCTCTTGTTCGGGAGATCTATGATCTACTTAATCGAAGCTGGCAAGCTGATTTTAAGCTGATTCGTAGAGAAGATAATATGGTTGCAGATTCTTTGGCGAAGTTTGTGTAGATGCTTAATTTGTCTGGGTAGTTAAGAAACCAGAAAAAACTAAAAAAAATGGTTATTGGGAGTTAAAAAGCAAAGTGGAGGTGAGGGTCGGTTGTTTGAGGCATTAACCACTCATCATAGCAAAAGGGGGGATGATCAGTTGGAGAACGTGGGAACCACTCATCAACTTGTAAAAGGAAAAAAGATTAACCACCAGAAAGAGGGGGGAGGAAAAGAAAAAAAAGAAAAAGAAAAGAAGAGAGACCTTTCACACCAGGGAGAGGGAGGCAACCAGAACAAGAGAAAACAGAGACCATTAAAAAACCAACGAAAAAACCAAAAAAGGGAGACGAAAAAAGGAGAGAGCCGAGAGATATCAACATTGAACTGAGAAAACAGAAGCAGAAAAGAGGTCTCCATTCGTGCTTTACAGGACATAACTGAGAAATTGTAAACAAAGCAAGGAAAGCTTTCTATTTGTTTTTGGTAATCAGAAAAAGACCAATCAAGAAGGTTATTCTTTACCCTCTTTTTCATCTATTTCACAACATGCTCTTTCTATTTTCAAAATAAATATAAGAGGGATTTACCTTGTTTTGTTAGAACGCCGTCGGTATTAAGGTTATTCGTACTGTTGCTGTAGTTGGGCGAAATTTCTGTGATTTACTTGAATCTTTGTCCATTACTTATTTAGGTTAGTTCTCATCTATTGGGTTTTAAATATGTAAAAAACAGAAATAAAAGGGTTAATTCCTTACCTTGCTGGGTTGGGTTTTCGTCGGATTAATGGAGCTTCGGTCTTGTGTGAGATGAGTGACTCCATGAGAGGGAGAGAGTTTTGATCGAGAGATGAGAATTGAGGAAGAATATAAATTACAAGGGGAGTTGTTTCTATTTGGTCTGATCGATGGCCATCATCAAATAAGTGAGGCAGTGGCGTTGGGAGGCAACCATGGAGATTCATGGCTGCGTGATGTGAGAGGAGAAAGGTTATACGGCCAAAGGGTAAATTAAAGGGTTGTCTAGGTTTAGTTAGGTTTTTTATAATGTTATTTGGGTTAATTATTTTTTTTAGTCACTAAGTTTCTTGGTAAAATCAGGTTTCCAGTCCCCAAATTTTCAGCTTGTTTTACACTTTAGTCACTTTTAGGACTGCTTTAGAATTTCACATTTTGTGTTTGTCCTAATTTCGCTATTTTTCAGTTTTAGTTTTAGTTATAATTTTCAGTTATTCACGTGTAGACCCTTTATTATTGATGTGATTATATTTAGGTCCTTGGTTTATTTTTGATTTGCAAGCTGAATTTTACATTTATTTAAATTTAGTCACTTTTTAATATGTACATATATATTTTAATTTATGGTTTAACATGTTATGATTTTGTTCTTATATTTAGGTCACATGTATACATAATATGTTAATATGCATGGTTTATGATTTTTTAATTAAAATATGTGTATATGATTTTTTGTATGTCATGATGTATGATATTTTTAATTTTGTTTAATTAATTTTGACATAACATTTTT